CCTTTTAGCTTTCCAATTCAAGATTGAGTCCAAATTCCTAACTTTTAGAATTGAAGCTGCTCTCTCATTCAATGTTGGGTCCGAATTCCCAACTTTTAGAATTTCGAAAGTGTATATTTACATCGTCAGGTCTTTCGCCTTGTGCGAGCCTATTCCTCATATACGACTCACCTCCTTTCTAATATATATCACATTTAATAATACTTATAACAAGTGCTGTTGTCATAAACATTTAGTGAAGTAGGAATTGTATGCATGAAGAAATGCAATGCTATCATACTCTGATTAAATGTGTTATCGCTATCTCAGAAATTCATATTTTTGAAATCTTAAACCTCATACCTCAATTTCATTACCTGAGAAATCAGCTACCAAACATGCAGTTTCCACACAAACCGCCTCCTTCAGCTCCCAGCTCTCCCTCGGCCTGCACAGCTTCTTCTCATGTGAATGGGGAGGGAATTAAATGAAAGAATGGCTGCAGTTGAGTATTTTCATTGATTCACTTACTTGTGTTTACTAATATAATAATATAAACCATTACTGATGAGGACATCGGAGATCAACGGCTACGATCTTGAGTTATTTATTTATATGTTTTCTGTACTAGTTTATTTGATATTGTTTTTTTCCTTTTATACCCTTACGGGTGGTCATGTAGTGTTGTAGCCCGAAGGATATTTTAGTCTTTTATTTCTTTTCTTTTCATGAGGCCTATTTATAGGCTAGTTATTTTGTATTTTGGGATGATGATTTGATAATGAAATTTTATGTGTTTTTCTTCTTATTCTTCTTTTTGTGAGTGCACTAGAGAGAAGGGAGAGAGAGCTCAAGGTGAGCAAACGCAATACCCACCAGTCACTGGTAAAGTCCGTGGCTCGTGGTCTTCGTCTACGTTTTCTATTCTATCTTCGTGTATTCCCCACCGATTTCTTGTCATCCCTCCACTTTCATTCCACCACCAAAATACCCCCTGATCCCCACCAAATTCCCCTTCCACAATCCCACCTGCCGGCCTAACTCCTAGTCACCTCCACCCAAAGCCCAACCCGCCTCTTCCCTCTTGACCGCCGGCCCCACCCACACCTCAAATCATTATGATGATTTTAATCATCATAATGACTCCCTAAATTGGCTCTTACAATAAAGAAAGGAGTTAGGAAATTCAAAAACTTTCTTTATTTGCAAAATCCAATTAAGGAAAGTTTTCAAATTCTGAATCCAATCTAAATTCAATTTAGAGAGGTCTCATTATTTTCCCTCTCAATTGGCCAAGCTTGTTTTGGAAACTCATAAAACAATTACCACAATCCCCTCCCTCCTCTTCATGCCGCCGGCCCCCCTTCCTTGGGCTTGGCTTGTGTTGTTTCCTCATTGAGCCCTCACCACTTTGAATTTGAAATCAAAATTTCAAATTTAATCCCCTCCAAATCCCTCATGGATTTTGAATTTCAAAATTCAAATCCCCCTTAATTACTTTCCTAAAATATCTTTCTATTAATATGGAAACATCTTTATTTGAATTCAAACTTATTTGAATTTCAAATTAATCCCATATTAATGAATCCTATTTGGAAACCCATTCAATCTCTAAAATTTGAATTTAATTCAGATTTAATCATATCATTAAATTGATTGCATGGGGACCACATACATCGAATCTAGACGCTTTCCCATCCTTCTATATGGCCGGCCCTATCCTTCTTCCTTTTCTCTCATCAATCTAATCTCTAATTCTTAATTTGAACTTCCCCATCTATTCCCCTAACAGACGCGCCTTTCCCTTGTTGTCCCACCAATTGGAGAGACTTCCGAAGGCTGTTCAAGGCAGCTAGCAATTTCAGACTGCTGTCCAGTATTTGCAACCTGCTGTCCAACATTTTGGGAAGCCATCTAGACCACATTGGAGCTGTCCAAGCTACTTCCCATTGGGTAGTTTGATGTCCAGGGAAATCTGCACATGTTTTCTTGCTGTCCATCCCGCTAGAAGGTTTTCAAACACTGTCCGGACATTTCAGACCGTTGATCGCACCTTCAGGAAGGTTCTTGAATGCCTCCTACTTCCTCCCAAGACTTCCTACAGCCGCGGGATCTGCGTATTTTCTGATTATTTGGGTAAACTCCCCTCCAATTCTCTTATCTCCTTAGTTTACTCATCAATTATAGTTTTAATGTGATTTATGACGATCAGGCCAATTATTCTCCGCTAAAGCTTAGTGTTTAGTAGAACTGTGTGATGGTAATTTCATAGTACTAATCTTATTATTAGCATAGGGATTTATTGTTGAAACCATTCAAGTATGCAACGTTAGATTAACTTGATTGTTTTCTGATCTTAACTTTTACGCGCGTGATTCAGCCAAAGCTTGTCTTACCGCTCTTTGTGTTTTATTGTGTCGTTTAAATTCACCATTAAGATATAATTATTTGTTTTAGGAATATTAAGTGTGCAAATTTCTTAAAGTAATTCATCTTTGCATGTTCGTTCTACATCAATTACACTAAGATTTCACTCTTTATTATATTACTATATAATTAATTCCACTAAGCTACTATACTTTAATGTAGTTGGATGGAGTATATGAGTGATCAGCCATTACATGCCATGCTAAGTGGAAATAGTAAATGACATAAAGAGTACATTAATCTTATATTAAAATTTATATTAATTAAATCTTAATTATATCTATTCAAGAGATTTATGCACATATATGCATATATCTTTTAAATACACTTATCTAGATCACAATGCTCTAAATTAAACTAGAATTAAATAAAATTGAAGTTGGTGTTTTCCATGTGAGAAATAAAATAGGGAGTGATTTGGGGAACTATTCATGCTTACATTTGACAAAACTTTGGGTATTATAGTTAAATCCTGGCCATCCTTTGACGCTTGATTCCACTGCTAGCATGGGGATTTGTGGGAGGGGGTGTTAAATCCCAGTCGTCCCTTAATCATTGATCCCACGGCCAGCATGGGGATCCATGGGAGGCTCACCTAGATCATGTTGATCTCCTTCCATATCCGGGTGGCTGATTTGGGAAAGATTATATTAGGGCACTTATGCATGATTCTGTAATTATTTATTTCTTTATTAATTTATATTATATAGATTTATAAATAAGGATAATTTTTGTGCAATAAAATTAAGCCGTTTCCCTCTCCAAGTCTTTGAATTTAACACATAGATATTTGTGCAGCTGTTCTGGATACGAAAATTGAATTATGAGTTTTCATGATTAGAGAGAGCTCTATAGATACTAGACTTATTCTGTAAAATCATTTGAATCTGAAATTGTCTGACTTGCTTTTACCAGTTTTCTTGTAAATTCAATAATAACCTCTCTATTTCTTTGGGCTTAGATCAATTGGAAAAAATTGGTTCATAATCTCATTTTTTGCCTCATCTAAACTTTAGACATAGCACAGCAAAGACTAGGCAATAACTTGTCAGGGAAAAAGTTGGATACATTGCATTTTGGTAACATTATTATTTTTAGTAAACTTATATAATAACTTGTTAGACCGGTCCAGTGGATCGGTCCAGTCGGTCCACGCGGGACTGGCCCAGACGCGAAACAGCGGATCCGTTCCGCCTGCTGGGAGGCCGCGCGAGTCGCACGCCGTGCGGGAGCTGAATAGGAAGGTTTTTTGAGGAAATTGTGAGGGAAATTTGAATGTAGGGATTGTTTAGGGATTTCCTTTTGATTTGTATGCATTAAATAGTTTGTTTTCATAGGGTTTGGGTATCTTGAATTTGGCTGAAATTTGAGATCTCCTAGATTTAGATTTTTCTTTGGGCTCTAGCGGCGTCTAGAGATTTGGGAGAGATCGATCTTCCTTTCGAATAGAGGATCAATTGTATCTTGCTATTTTTTGTTTTCCTTTCATCAAATAATACAAATTATCTACTGTTTTCATGGTTTTGTGTGGACTTTTGTGAAGATTTTCTCGCTGTTTTCCGAAGATTGATAGGAAATACTTGAGATCTACAAGTGTTTCCTATCAAATTGGTATCAGAGCAAGTCTTAGGACCATTCGTGGGCTGTGTTGGGAGAATTTCAGCGGTTGATTTTTGGTGGAGAACGGACGAAGTGCTGTTTTTGTAATCCAATTCCGGAATTTTTGGATTTACAAAGGTTTGGATCGAGATGGCGGCCAAGCAAGTTGATGCGCTAGAAGAAAGGCTTGAAGGGGAGATGAACCATATCAAGACAACGGTGGAGGAAAGGATTTCTCCATGGAAGGACAAGTAGCCGATCTCCGGGACATGATGAAGAAAATGTTGGAAATTCAAAACCAAACGGTGGCTTCTGTGGCAAAAGAGGAGGAAAGAAAAAACACGAATTCAGAAATTCGTAGGGAGGAAGACGAGGTGGAAATCATGGAGGGAGAAAAAAGAAAACCCTTTATGGAGCCTTTTCAGAGGGAGGATAGAGGAGGTCGGTATGGGGAAAGGCATGAGTATGGAGGGACGGAGCAAAGGGGTGCTGATTGGGAACGCCGGGAGGTACATTATGGTCGCCGAGGTGCTGATTTTGAAGGAAGAAGTGGGGAATTCGAAGGGGGTTTGGGATATGGCAGGGTAAGGGAAAACCGGGAGACGTGGGGTAGGCCGAGCACTTGGGAGAGGGGAAGTTATGGAGGAATAAGGGGGAATGGTGGAGATCAAAAGGTGTGGAAGTTGAAGATGCCTATCTTCCAGGGGGAGGATGCGTATGGGTGGATCTATAAGGTGGAGAGGTACTTTGCCGTGAATGGGCTAACAGAGGAGGAGAAGCTGACAGCAGCAAGCCTATGTTTGGAGGGGCAGGCACTGTCATGGTACCAGTGGAGAGACCAGAGGAGACCTATCAAAGACTAGAGAGAATTCAAGGACTGCATAATAGAACATTTTCAAACCGACCGGGGAGGAGATTTCTATGAGCAGTTCTTTGCTCTGGCACAAGAGGGATCAATATTAGACTACCAGGAGCAGTTTGAGCAACTAGCCAGTATGGTGGAGCGATTATCAGATACGGTATTGAAAGGGAACTTCATGAAGGGTTTGAAGGCAGAGATCCGAGCAACAATGAAGATTTTGATGCCACGTGACTTGGGGGAGGCCATGAAGTTGGCCCAACTAGTGGAAAATCAGAAGAATCTAGAGAAGGGGGCTAGGAGCAACAACTTAGGAGGCTTTTACAGAACGACAACCACTCTTCTAGTGCACTAGGGGCCTGTATCAGGCAACATTAATGAGACCACCAGGGAGAAGCCAGTAGGAGGAAGGAGGGAAAAATTTCAAGAGGCTGACAGATAAGGAGATGCAGGAGAGGAGGACAAATGGGTTATGTTTCAGGTGCAAGGAGAAGTATACGCTAGGACATCGGTGCAAAGATCGAACTCTTCAAGTTCTTACCGTTTGTGATGACGAGGAAACTTAGGAGGGAGATGAGGGGGAGTTAGAGGAATAGATGAAGGAGAATTTGCATTTGGATTTGGCCGAGGTTTCCCTGAATTCAGTAGTATGATTCACTTCGAATCATACGATGAAGGTGAAGGGGGAAATAACAGGCATGGAGGTGGTTATTTTGATTTACAGTGGAGCTACCCATAATTTCATTTTCACTCAGGTCGTCAACCAACTGGGAGCGAAATTGGTGGACACCAGTTATTATGGGGTGATGATGGGTATAGGGAAGGTGGATAAAGGCTAATGGATCTGTAGATGTGTGGTGCTGACCATCCAGGGGATTCAGTTAAGGGAGGATTTTCTCCCACTAGAGTTAGGAAGTACTGATGTCATCCTGGAAATGAAATGGTTGCAAACCTTGGGGGGAACCAATGACAATTGGGGAGCACTCACGGTGGAATTAATGGTGGATGAGAGAAAGGTGGTCATAAGGGGAGAAGCAGGACTATCCAAAGCCATGGTATCACTTAAGACCATGGTTAGGAGCCTACAAGGGGTGGAGGAAAATTATCTGGTGGGACTACACAAGCTGGATGAGATTAGGATGAAGGAGGGAGGGGATGTTTCTCTTTCAGGGCAACCCTCAATTCAACAAGTTGGTAGGGATTTTCAGCCACCTCAAGGATGGCCACCTCCATGGGAACACGCGCATATCTCCACCTTGAGGACAAGGTGGATCTTCGGGAGGGGAGTATTGTTAGACCGGTCCAGTGGACCGTTCCAACCGGTCCATGCGGGACCGACCCAGACATGAAATAGCGGATCCGTTCTTCCTGCTGGGACGCCGCGCGAGCTGCACGCCGTGCGGGAGCCAAATAGGAAGGTTTTTTGAAGAAATTGGGAGGGAAATTTGAATGTAGGGATTGTTTAGGGTTTTCCTTTTTATTTGTATGCATTAAATATTTTGTTTTCCTAGGGTTTGGGTATCTTGAATTTGACTGAAATTTGAGATCACCTAGATTTAGATTTTTCTTTGGGCTCTAGTGGCGTCTAGAGATTTGGTAGAGATCGATCCTCCTCTCGAATAGAGGATCAATTGTATCTTGCTATTTTCTGTTTTCCTTTCATCAAATAATACAAATTATCTATTGTTTTCATGGTTTTGTGTGGACTTTTGTGATGATTTTCTCGCTGTTTTCCGAAGATTGATAGGAAATACTTGAGATCTACAAGTTTTTCCTGTCATAACTAAAAGCAACAGAAAAATTCATTAAAATAAGTATGAGTAGGGAAGTGAAAATTTAATATTGATGCCTATGATAAAAAAACATTTTAATTAAAGTGATGTGAGAGAAGGATAAATATAATGTATGTTTGCTTTTTAATAAATATTATTTTAGGATCTAATCGGGTTAAGACTGAATATAGTGTTAATAAAATAAATAAAAAAATACATTGAAATATAGAGGGATATGATAAAATTTTGCACCTTCAAGTATGAAGCTTAATTATGTTGTAAATGAATTGATGTTGAGAGAGAAGAATAAAGATGGAGAGAAGGCTATAAAGTGGCTCCTTTGAAAGCTTTAGTGGGTTGACCTTAATGGGCATGGCCTTAAATGGTCTAGCCATAGTTGGCTGAGAACTAGCCGAATAGCACATTGATCATTTAAAAGGCTTGATGCAAGCGTATTGTTCACTGCCAAGCCACTCAAAATTAAATTAAAAATAATTTAGGATATTTTGTTTGTACTAATTACCTTTTTAACATAGAAAAAAACTCTAGTTGATAAATCACCTAATATAATATTATGAGTTAAATAACTTAAATTTAATTCATTTTGATTTTGAATTCTCTAAGCTATCATAAATTAAAAAAAAGTTAAATGATTTTTTTCTTCAACCTTTTTTTCTTTACACTTGATTCAAATATGTCGTTTTTAATATTGATTCAACTAAATATGAATGAGTAGTATTACTTTTTGTTGCAGAATAACATTATATTTTAAATAGGCCTAAGTCGAAATGGATAACCTTTTAAAGCCTATCATAAATCTGTCTAGCTCAAGCCGATTATGAGCTTTAAGGGCCAAAAGAAATGGGCTTAAATGAGTTTGGGCAATCCATTTGACACTACTACATTGAGAGCATTTGAGAATGAAAATAAGATTTTCAAGGATCTAGCTGGGCTAAAGTTGGCCTCACATGCGAAATGTGCTCGAAATATATTTCAGCTTTGCAATTTTTACAATCACACACCTGTAGGCTTCTGTGAAATGGTGTCCAGTTAAATTGGAATATATTTTTGTCTCTCAAATAGCCTTGTGGAAGTTTATGTGCACTGAAGTTGTCTCTCATTGCTCATCTTGGACGTCAATATATGCTGTCCTTAGGTCACTTGTATTTGCGTGCATGATATGTTTCTTCAGCTTTGTCTTGTCAATTATCATGAAGTTCTTGAATAATTCATATGGTTCAGGAAATCTGGAGTCACTACAATTGATGCAGCAGCTTCTTACAATTCCCTTGATAACATTTATATTGAAGATGATGTGAATTTGGTTGACGTTGAATCTGACGGTGAAGGCATTCTTTCAGAGGTTTCCCCGTTTTATTTTATATCATGATTATATATTAGTTTGCACGAAATCCTGTTATGGTTCATTTTGTTGAGTGACGGACTTTCTAATATAATTATGTTCTGGCTAACATATTTCTCTTGTTGAACCATTTCAGAATCTTTTCTTGATATTTTTGAATAAAATTATGCAGTAGTGCTTATTATTTACGGAGGTAAAAAGGGCTATAACTTGCTTCCAAGGATCTTTTGTCTCTCTATAAATATCTGCACCATCACGGTGGCTTTCCAAGCTTAGTCTTTTATGTTTCAACTATTGAGTGGGTTAGGAAGAAGTTATTTATTTAAGGATGCCAAAATTTGACGGCTCTTCTTTGTAACGTTTGTTAACCATCCAAACACCCTCACAACTTTCGTTATTTACCTGTACAATTTAACTTTATCCTTTTTTCCCTGATCTAGGGTCAACAATATGACAAACTTTAAATGGTTCATTTATTCATTGATGATCACTCTAGAGTCACTTGTCCTTCTTTATGAAGGATAAAATTAAAGTTATCTCCTTATTTCAAAATTTCAATAAGTTGGTGTAAACTCAATGTCAAATTAAAATTCAAGTGCTCTAGACTAGCAACGGGTGCAAATAATATCATTATTCCCTTGTGTCCTACGTGTTGGATTAAGGGATTAATCATCGGAGCACATGTGTCAACATTTTACAACAAATAGAGTTGTTGAAAGAGAAAATAAACATTTGATGAAAATGCCTTGATCAATCAGGCTTGTCTCACACTTTCAAAATTATTTTTGGGAGAAGTTGTGTTAACTATAGTAATTATCATCAATCAAATGACCTCTCCAATACTAAATTTCCAAACTCCATGCCAAATTCTCCTTCAAACCTATCCTTTTGCCCAAATTATTACTTATATTTCAAACAAAATCTTCGGATGCACCTCCTTTGTTCACATTAGATCTTCAAACATTAACACAAATTTGAACTCATATCAATTAATTTTATTTTCCTTAGGTATTCATTGTATAAAAAGGGGTATAAGCGCTTTTCACCATTCATAAAATATATTCTACGGTTCTACCCAATAATGAGTATCACCTTTGAAAATCAACCATTATATGCCGAAGCTGAGATTTATTTAGAAAAATTTAGGGAATATCATATTTGAGAAATTGAGCCTGCTACTTATCCATTCTTATCTTTGCCATCGGTTTAAACAATCTCCATTCAAAATCTCATAATTCTTACAAATTCACCTAGAACTAGCAATCAATATTTGGAATCTATACATCATGCCCCAAAATAAGAAAATGATTGTTTACTCCAGGAGGCTGAAAATCAAGGAGGTGACAAAGATCCAAGCACCTCTTGCATCAAATCATTATTCTATGCAAAATTTGGAGACCTCTTAAGTCTCAACTTTGTATCAATAACAAAACCACTAAACCTAGTTTTTGTGATCTTGATCATTCTATTACAATCAAGAAAGGAGTTAGATATTCTGCCAAACACCCTGTCAACGTTTTTCTGTCATATGATAAGTTAACTCATATATATCATGCCTTGGTTATATCATTTATAGTGGTTCAAATTTTAAACAACATTTAGGAAGCTTTTTGGAAACCTCTGTGAAAGTGACTTGCAATGGTAGAAATACAAGTCCTTGAAATTACATTGAATTTCCAAAAGGAAAGAGACTAGTTGGATGTAAGGGGATTTCCTTTATAAATTCCATTGATGGAATTGTGAACATAGTCGAAGCTTAATTGGTGTCCAAAAATTTCTCCTAAATCTATGGGATAATATAGGAGGAGATATTTACCCCATTTGCTAAACTTAATTCCATTTGTGCGTTATTATTAGCCTTTGAAACAAACTTGGATTGATTGTTATATAAACTTTATATTAAAAATGCTTTTCAGAATGGTTATTTTTATGAAGTCTATAAGAAGGTTTCCTTTGGGTTTGAGAGTCAAGTCAATATTGATAAGACATATGAGCTTCGAAAATACTTATATGATCTGAAAACAATCCCCGAGTGCATTATTTGATCACTTATCAAAGTGGTTAAGATACATGGTTTCTCTAAACGCCAAACTGATCACACTATATTCATAGAGCATGTCAAATTTCAAGATTGTTATATTGAATGCTTATCTTGATCCCATTACTTTGTTATTCCTTGGAAGTGAATTCAGTGAGAAAACATAATACAACAATCGAGAATCGAGAAGCAGTGCCTGATTTTTGGATTACTACTTCAACACCAAAGCAAGATACAATGATCTACAATTAGAGAGGTAGATCGATTCTCCCAAACCACCTAGACGCCCACTAGGAGGCCCTCAAAGAAAGAAAAATTGCAGCAGAAATCAGATCGCACATAATGAAAAATAACCCTACAATCAGTCCTAAATACTCCCCCTCCCCCCAAAACAGCCCTCTTGCCTTACTTGATTCCCTCCCCTCTTTTGATATCAAATCCCTCATTAAATCCTTCCTTATTCCTTCTCCTTCCATATGAAGTTATAGGTTTGATGGGCCCTACAAGTAGGGCTACTAGTGAGCCAAGCGTTCGACGAGCTACTCGATGCTCGGTTCGATTAAAGCTCGTTTGTGATCGTTTAACTAACTAAACAAATAAACTTGAACAACATTTTAAATACTCGATCCTTAAATAAACAAGCTTGAACACTAATGTGTTCGATTCATTTATGTTCACGAACAACATCATTTGAAGTTTGTGAACAAGCTCGACATTAAGCTTGATAAAAGCTTGAATGGAGAGAAATGCAACAGGTAAGCTTCATTTAAGAATATTTTCATTTTAAATAGACAGCTGCTTTTAATAGAAATTTAATTTTCTGAACAAAAAACATTTCATATTTGTCCATGTTTGCTAGATTGTTTGTTTAAGATGTTCTTGAACAAATTTAATGCTTGTTTGTTCAATAGATTGTTTGTTAAATATGTTCACGAACATAGCTCGTTAAAGCTTTCTTGTTTAAAGCTCGATAAGCATTAAACGAACCGAACATGAACTGAACATGAACCAACATGAACACCCTTAAATTAAATGAATCAAACATGAACACAAATAATAAAGCTCGAATCAAACAAGAACCAAACTCGAACAAGCTAATGATAAATGAACTCAAATATGAACACTCACATACTCGGCTCGGTTCGTTTGCAGCCCTACCTACAAGGGGGGCCAAAACTTTTGCCCTTGTCCCGTCCAGCTTTGCTGTGTTCGGTTCTACTGAACCAGGCATAACATACTTTTTATTGGAAACAATGAGAGAGAAATAACCAAATTAAAGAAACTTCTGATGAAGAAATTGAGATTAAAGAGTTAGACAACTTGATTTTTTTTTGTTTGGGTAAGAAAATTTGTCTATCAATGTATGACATTTCAATGACTCAACGGATGTTCTTGCTCTGCTTGAAAAAACTAGGATGTTGGGATGTATACCAAATGAAAACGCCTATGAATCCAAATATTAAGATTTATGCTGAGGATGAATGTCCTCCTGTTAAGGAAATTATCAAATACTTGTGAGGAAACTGATTCATATAAGACATATCTGGCTATATATTATCTTCTTAGTTACTATGGCTAATAGAGTCATGAATAATCTAGAAAAACACTTAAGAGGGCTACTTTTGAATCTTCAATATCCAAAGAAGGGTCCTGAAAAGGCATTAAATTCAAGGAAAACTTCCTACAGAAATATTTGTGTTCGCTGGTGTAGACTGGGCATGCTCTATTATTGATAGGTGATCACTGATCAACTACTATGGAGAAATTTAGTCATATGGAGAAGTAAGAAATAATCTATTGTGGCATGAAGTAGTATTGTAGTAGAACTTAGGGTTGTCACACGGGATCTGTGAAGGAATTTTGTTGGAGAGAATGTTGGAAGAACTGAAGAACTATCGAAATAGTCTTGTGAGAGTATTATCGATGACAAAACTACCATTAACATTGCAGAGAACCTGATCCTTCTTGATTGGATCAAACATGTAAATATTGATTGTCATTTCATGAGGATTAGATGGATAAGAATTCAACGAACTTATTTATACTCTTTCCAATCTTTAGGCAACTGATATTCTCGCTAAGGCCATTCACCGCAATAATTTTTGAAGTCAGAACTCCAAATTTGATATGATTGGTATGTAATACTCAACATGAGGGGAATATTAGTTGATGTTGATTTCCATAGATCTTAAAGTGTCTATGATTCCTATTGTCCTTTCTCCCTGTTAAGAAAGTTTTCAAGATTGTTTTATCTATGTTACCAATCAATGACGTTACTCTTTCCTTTTTATGTATCATTAAATGTGAGAGATATTTAATTTGATAATTTCAAATATTTAGATCATGTATTGTTGTTATTTCTTTTTAGTTGATTCTATTTAGAATAATATTTTTCATATCCATGCGAAAATTGTGGATCTTCTTTTATATATACATAGCTTGTATTTTAGAATCCTTGAAGAATTTAACTGATATACTCTTACACATATTTCTATAGCTATAATCTTTTGAATTGGATCGTTTGACATATTATCTCATTTTTTATGAATCCTCTCTCCCTCTCTTCAATTTTAAGCCAAAAACATTTCACTCGATGGCTATTACACATTTCTTTCCAATTTATGCTCTCAAAGGGTTATACATGAATTATAAATCTCTTAAGTGAATTCCAAGGTAAGGGGCCTAATTTTTAAGGCAAATTCTTGTTCTTTAAACTCTTTTCAGTTTAAGAGAGGCTTTTAATACTCACACCCAAACTATTAGTTTATGGAAATGGAGGATAAAGGATCGCACAAAGACCCTATTTAAGGGTGTAATCATCATCTTACATGGTAATTATCATCCCTTATTTTAATCTCGTTTGCATGGCATCTTTCATGGTTCTTACTTGAATCCCATAAGTAATCCTTGATATTGAAATTTCTTAAGGAACCTTAATTTCATGCATATAGGAAATCTTTTA